AAATATTTGTGTCCTGTGATAGAAGGGGTGGAGAAAGGACCCCATATATCTACATGGATCAAATCAAATGCCTTGGAAGCTTTACTGGTACTCATCTCATAAGACAACTTTTTCTGTTTTGCCATATGGCAAATGTCACAAGGAGCATTATTACTTTGAGTGATAAAGGGAAACTTATTACACATCACTTTCAGTACAGAATCTGAAGTATGGCCTAAACGAAAATGCCATAAATTGGAAGTATCAGTAGATAAATTGTTAACTTGTCTACTGGTACAAAATTTATTAAAAGTATCAATCAACTTCATGTTTCTGCCTTCTTCGTATCTTGATTCCAGCATGAAGAGTCCATTACATACTATAGCTGAACCAATCACTTGTTGGGACCTGATCTGTTTGATATGGCACAAAGAATCACGAAAAATAAGTTCACATTCATGTGATTGAACCAGTCTCACCACTGAGATCAAATTGACACAAAATTCTGGTATGAAAAGAACATCAGTTAGAATCAGTTTTGGTAGCAAATGAACAGTTCCTGAATAATGTGCCATAATTGTGGAACCATCAGGCAAAGTTATAGAAACTGGTTTGATTTTATTCAGCAAAGTAAAAGATGAAGATACACATGAAATATGATTCGTTGCACCCGTGTCTAGGATCCAGTTAATAGATGCCTTACCAGAACCTTGAGATGCAGTAGCAAAAGCACTTGCTGATGAAGTATGAGTCATATTGACAGCATGTGTAGGTGCAGCAACCTCTCCATTTTGAATGTGTGTTTGCTGAATCAGATTCAACATATTCTGATATTGTTCTTGTGAAAGAACTACATCATCTTGTTTTGCAGCTTGCATTGGAACACCATCATCTGCATTCATAACAGCATTAGCAGAGGAATTTCTTGGTTTAAACTTGAAACCCGGCGGATAACCATGCTTAGCATAGCATGTATCAACCGTATGATTGGTCTTTCCACAATAGGTACATAGCTTGGTACTCCTCGGTTTTGTGGATTTGAATTTATTAAAATTCATGTTTCGATTTCCACGTTGATCTGCAACATATGCTTTTGGCAGTAAAGCTTCATTATGGATCTCACAACTCAATTGGCGCTCTTGTTGTGTAACAAGAGAGAAGGCTTTGTTCATGTTCGGAAGTGGTTCAATCAACATGATCTGTGATCGAACACTAGAGAATTGATCACTCAAGCATTTTAAAAATATGATTACCTGATCACGCTCTCTTGACCTTCTTATTACATCAAGAGCACCACAATAACAACTTGGTAATGGATGAAGAGTATAGAGCTCATCCCACAGCGTTTTCATTTCAGTGTAGTAGTCACTCACTGATTTCTCTCCTTGGTGCAAGCGATGTATCTCCTCTTGCAGGTCTGCAATTCTGAAAACGTCAGATTGCGAAAATCTTTCACGAAGATCGCACCACACATCTGCGGCCTTTTCGATCCATAAAATTGATCTGGAGATAGATTCATCAATGGAACGATGAATCCAAGATAACACCATTGTGTTACAACGCTCCCAAGCTGGAAAAAGAGGATCATGTTCGTCTGGAACTTCAAAGCTTCCATCGACGAAACAGAGTTTGTTTTTAGAAAGAAGAGCCATTTTCATGGCACGTAACCAGGTATGAAAGTTGCGTGCATTCAAAGGAGGAGCAACAAGAGCCATGGAAGGATTTTCATTGGGATGAAGGTACAAAGAGTTTGATGGATTCATCAAATGATCTGGAAGAGGACTCTGGTTCGCCATCTTGAACAAAATTCAGAGAAAGAAGCAAATTCTTCAACTTCAAAGAAAGCTTCAACTTCAGAAAAAAAACAAGAATGAAACAAGAGCAAACGAAAAACAAGAATTGCGATACCAGAGCTCTCTTCAGAGCTCTGATACCATATCAGAATCCAAGAAACTCATATTGATCTGGAAGAGAAGAATTATCATTACTGTATTGCAACACTGCACTTGGTTATATACATGAAGATGAAGTTGTGAATAAAGGAGTTGAGACAGTTACTAACTGTGTCAACGTTCTAACTAATCTCCGTGAAATTAGGAGCTAAATTAACTAACACAACTAACTTGAATAATTACAAGTATATTCTAAACCATTCTCAACAGTTGTAGAAAAAATAGTGGCCCATGGTACATTGAGACACACACAAGACCCGATTCTTAAATTCTGCAATAACCACAAATTTAAGTCAACTGTAAAAAATCTGGTAAGAAATTATGGGGAAGTAACTCAGTCCAGACTTGTTTGATTTTAGCACAATCCCTAGCCATATGGATTATCGACTCATCTCCCGCAAAGATTAACTACACTGATAATTAAGATTGTCGTTTATAAGTCTTAATTTAGTTTTTTTTTTTTCCAGTGATTCTTCGTTGCGAATTTTGGACTGGAACAACGTCTTTTTTTTTATTCACCAAAAGAAATTAAATCCAATCTCAATTCCATGTAAATTATAATTTATTTTAATAAGATGTATTATATTATATTGTATTGGGAAATGACCTAGAATTTAATTTTGTTATGGCTACAATATCGGGCCTCGTAAAGAAATGACCATGCTGTAATTGAAAAATTGATGAGTCCATCTAGTAAGCTAAGCCCACGCAAATAAAATCTCTTTATGTTAAACAATTTTACAAGTTTAGTTCATCCCCAGTATTAAATTTTCTTTTCATTCTCTTTCAGTCACTTGTGGTCACATAATAAAAACAAATTTTTCAAAGAGAGATAAAATGTAAATCAAAATAAAAACAAATTTTTTATACTATTATTTATTTCCAACATTATGTGAGTGTTAGATGTATATGTAAACTATTTAAATAGAATAGTAATTATTTACCAAAAAAAAAAAATAGAATAGTAATGAGGTATGACTTGCACAATATATTAAGCTTTTGGAGCCTAATTTCTTCAATTAGAATTATATAAGATAGAATTACATATGAATCCATGTTGAATACCCCCTTCAAGACCCGTACTTTCCTATCCCTAACCTGGATGAAGTGGCCGAAATAGACATAACATACTTGGATAATGCGGTATATATGCACCAAATAGCTTACTACAAAGATAACTCGTGCAGTTGTGCTAGCTAGTTTAGCTAAAGTGGTTCCAATTATCTCTTAAGTAGTTTTCGACCAATTGGACAACTTTCAGTGCTACAAATTTTATCAGTGTGTGACTCTTACACGACATGGGAGCCGCACCAGTATCTAGTAGGCATCATTGATACAACAAGGTAGAGAACGAAGTCTGAAGGAAATTGGCAACGATATCAAGTTGCCTCCCAAACTCGTTACTTAGGTGGTGTTTGGTTGGAAGCTTTTTAGGGGATATCTATCTTTCTCAAGTATGGCTTTTAGAAACACTATGTTTGTTTCAACGTTTTTCACCAAAAACTCATCTATCCAATTTGTCTAGATTTATGAGAAACATAGATATCCGCACTGTTTAGAAACTCAATTTGAAGGTGGGATTTTTCGGAAAACCGATTATCTGGCTTTTAATGCACTGTTGATTTCATAAAGTTACCTAATTTTCCCAGTAAAGTTTTTTCCCACCAAACAACTTTTTTTTTACATTTTTCTACCTATCTCACTTTATCTATCTTTCCAATCATTTCTCTATCTATCTCATTTCCCTACTATTCCAAAAAAAATTCCTGAACCAAACGCCCCGTTAAGGTTGTTGAACAATGCTAGAGATGTGATTACACTTGTGAAGCTTGATTTTACCTAGGGATGTTTCCGGTCTGAATTGCATCAATTTTGGAAACAAAAATCATCTGATCCAATCTCTTCGGTTTAATCATGTAATTATCTATTCAGTTTGGATTTTTTTTCAGATCCAATCCAATTTTATTCTGTTTGGATTAAATCGGTTTTCAGTTTTTTGAAAAACCTAAGATTTGTATAATGATTATTGTGCAAATAACATATATTTTGTATGTATCGGCTTTGTAAAGTTTGTATGAAGATTATTGTGTAATCTAGAAGCATTGTACAACAAAAAGTTGAATTACCATCTTTTACCTCCAACAACAAAATTATAATATGGTTGCCTGAGATACAAAGTAACCCAAATTTTTATCCTATAAAGGAGCTGTTGGACAACTATAACTCATAATAAAAGTATATTATGTATCTTACCAAAAAAAAAAAAACATAACATAGATCAAGCACATCCTACTTTTTCCAACATGATGAGTTAATGGATCTTTGATTTAAAATTTTGTTATATGATTTTTAGGCTATGATTGAGAAAATACCCAAGTAGATAGATGATAAGATTGGAAAATCATTGGATCGGTTTTCACCAACCAATACAAAAATCGATCCAATCCAATCAAATTTTACGATTTTTTTCAATTTTTGATTTTTCAGTTTTGATTAATTCGATTTTCAATTCGGCCACCGCAGTTTGAATCGAATCATGAACACCCCTAATTTTACCGAACATCATCAATCCCTTAAATGGAGATATTCTACTCTCAATTTGACTTTTATTATAAATTATTATCATCTGAAGACATGAATATGATTCTTGAACTCTTTTAAGTTATGATTTAATTGAATTACAACAGCTTACTTATACAATTTAAATCAAATAGCCAATTATTTTAAGATTATAACCAGTTTGAGACATTTGAGATGGTCTTCTATTCTGAGACAGAAAAATATATATATACATATCAACATCTAAATCACTTTTCTAGGGCTCGCATGTTATTGGACATCGTGTGAAAATTAATATGTTTAACCAGATTGATAAAAAAAGAATGATTCACCCATTGTCTAATCTGAAAGTTAATATTTTCATTTAATGATGATGATATGATTTTTGGAGACATCAAGGGGAAATATAAAGAAATATAGACTACTTAACTAGAGGTTAAGAGAAAAGAATTCAAACATCTCCTTTTCAAATCAAACACAAGCACTGTCGATTAATCAATGATTGTCGCTTTACAAGAAATATTGTTTTTCTTTTTCTAAAAAAAGGAGAATAGAAGAAAAGAATATGATGATTAGCCCAAAAATAAGGCATGAAACCAATTAAGAGAGAAAATAAGATGGATACAAAGAATCAGAAAATAGCAACGGGTCGAGGAACCAAAAATAAAAAAACTAATTCCCAGACGAATGTACAAAAATTTCAAACCGATATAGAACAGAGATCGTCAAAAACTTGTCTGATGTTAGGCCTCTCATTTACAGGGAGAATACACCTCAGAGATATTGCAAGCAGTTCATCCATCTCTTTGGAGGAATCTTCCCCACCTGCAATGTCTCTGTCAATACAGTCCATTACCCTTCCTTCTCGCTCACACAGCCTAACCCAATCTGTAAGATCAACAGCGCCTGATTGGCCTGATATTATGTCACCTGCACTTTTCCTCGTTAATAACTCCATTAGGATCACACCAAGTGCATAGACATCAGCCTTAAACGATGGAACTGGTTTGGATGCAGCAGCTAGTTCTGGAGCACGGTATCCGAGTGCTCCTAGATTTAGTATCTGCTCTGCAATTCCAGCTGGGGTCATAAGCCGGTGCAGACCATAGTCACTAAGACGAGCATTGTTTTCATGGCCTGCTAACAAAATATTTGTTGGCTTCAGATTTCCATGGGGAAGCCCTCGATCGTGAAGGTATAAAAGACATCGAGCAACATCAACAGCAACTCTTAATCTCTGGCTGAATGATAATCTCGAGTGCCTCCGGGGTGTGGTCTCTGTGCAAAACAGATACATTGATATAATACTCAACTAACAAAAAGCTCATATCATGTCAAAAAATTCCTGCATGAACAAGCGGCACTAAAAAGAGAATTCAAGAGCTCTAAACATGCTTCAATGAACTGCTTGTCAAGCTGTACCTTAGAGATACCAAGGCACAAAAAATACCCAACATTTGGACAGACACAGCCCCTGAAACTCTACAATACACCTAGTAACGGCCATGCAGCTTGTACAACTGCAAGAGTTCACACACACTAGACAAGATGAGTCCTTGTCTGTCAGCTTTTCCGAAGGAAGCCAGTGGAAATTGACAGAGGCAGAGAGGATAGATGACAGCATCCAGCTATGTAACTCTCTTTTTTTTTATCTCAACAAGAAACACATTCTTAGAGTCAAATCCAATTTGAATAGGCTATGATCTACTCACATTCAGCCGCCTGAACAGGCAATGTATATCAAGGCCCAAAAATCCATGCAATGGTTTATTTTTTGCCACAAATTTAGAACAACCCCCAGTCATACTATCATCTAACTGTGCCATGCAGATCACAGAAATTAAGCATGAAGTTTATCTTTGTTATCAAGGGTTGAAGAGATTTTCCAAGCTACAAAAGCAATTTGAACCCCATTCTCTCTCTCTTTCCTTTCAAACCTTAAAGAAAGGAATTGAAGTAGAAAGGCAAACCAAAAGCAAGACGGAAATAGAAAAAAAAAACTTCAAAAAAATGTAAAGGTTTAGAACACGATGAGAAATATACCCCCAATTAGTTGCAATTACATTTAATATTTTAGCAACGAGTTGCACAGCAGTTACAATTTTTTTGTTGCATCATGCATGCATAGGTATAAGGAAATTCTTATTTCCAAAAGAAAACTCATGCTCATAATTAAAAGGCATCGCGCACTGCAGATATAACTATAGGACACAATAAATGCAAGCAATAAAAAAATATTAAAAAAAAAAAACACAGGATTGGAAAAGTGGGGATGGAGTGAGATATGCCAACAGAAAAGTTAACCATTACCATAGAGATGGAGGGCCAAGCTGTCCCCATGTATGTAGTCAGCTAAAAGAAGCCTCTCTTGTTCCCTAGGCCCCCAATAGTATGCCCGTAATGAGACAATGTTTGGATGCCTCATGGAACCAATCCTTTTAACTTCTCTAGCAAATTCCTTTTTATGTTTGACCAATCCCACTCGTAACCATTTTACAGTCAACATATGACCACTGTCGAGAGTAGCTTTGTATAAAGTGCCATGGCTACTTCTGCCAAGAACTTCAGCTGGAGCTCGAGATAAATCCTCAGCAGTGAATGCCATCGAAGAATCCAGGAAGAACAGTTCCCCAGCCAGCCGATCTGGGGAGTAAACGTCCAACATCGCCGGCTTTTCACTGCCCTCTATAAAACGGGGTGAGGATGACAATGGGGAACCAGGAGAAGACTTTCTTCCAGATGACGTGGGAGGGTTATCCATCAAATTAGGAGTTACAGATGCTGAACTAGTTGCTACCATTCCCTGAGGTAAGCCGTGCTCAGAAATTTCAGTTATAAACTCTGTCTGTCCAGAGAGTGACCTCGAATTGGAAGTCAACAAGTGATCATTTGAAAAGCTCAACGAAGTGGTTGGGGGTTGAACATTTGAATTGAACTTGAAGAGGGAAGGCCTCGTGAGTCCTCCTAACTTGACATCTCTTTCAGTAGTTTGACCAGTGAACTCACTTCTTCCACGAAATTCTTTTAGTTGTGTTCTATGATAAGCCAATAAAACAAAAGCAATCATCACAGCAGCACCCACAGAGGCAAGAATAATTGCTATCCTGATATTTCCCTTTGAATTATGATGTCTACCTGTATCTGGAATATTATCAGGCACTGAGGAAGCTCCAGGAGAACCATTTGGTAACCTTAGCTTTTCATTTCCGGGGTGAAAGGATGAAGGGGGGAACCGCTGCAAATTTTCAGGAACACGACCAGATAGATCATTATAGGACACATTAAATACAGTTATGCTGGACGAAAGCTTATCAGGAATATTTCCAGTAAATTTGTTGTTAGACAAATCGAGGTACTCCAAATAAGAAAGTTTGCTCAACTCATCTGGCAGCTGTCCGGAAAAGCCATTCCTTGCTAGATTCAGCAGTTTTAACCCACCCATCCTACTTATATCAGAAGGCAAGACACCTTCTAAGGAGTTATTAGATACATCAAGATATTCCATTGGCTGATAAGGAGGCATGAGTAGTAATTCACTTGCCCCTGAACTTTGAAGCCGAAGTGCCCCCGTAAATAGATTTCCAGAAAGATTTAGTCTTGTCAGTGACGGTGAAGCTACTAAACTACCTGGAATGGATCCACTAAGTTCATTTAAACTTAAGTCAATGGTGGACAATTTTGAATAGGTCCCTAAAATAGGAGGTAAGGATCCTGACAGCTTGTTTGAACTCAGATCAATAACCTCCAACGTGGCTTCCCAGTTCTGTATAACAGAAATGTCACCAGATAACATATTCCTGCTCAAGTCTATCACTGTACAACTTCCCAAAGATGTTGGCAAAGAGCCTGATAAACCATTTGATGAAAGATTCAAACTATTCAAAGTTGTGGAGTTGATTACAGCAATTGAGCCTGTAAATAAGCAAAGAAATGTAAACTAATTAACAGATTATTGAGTTTACTGACTTCTTTTCGTAAATAATCTACAACCCCCCAAAACTGAAATACTTCACAAACCATGAAGCAATTATCATTAACATATTTAATCAAAAGGGAGTCCAGAATATTTGCTTGACAACTGTAAAGTGAAATTGGTATATTCACAAGAAACATGTGAATTCAATTGCAAAACACAAGCTTTAAATGATATAATTAGTAGAAAAAAGGAAATTGCAATAAACAAAGATAAATTCATATAAAGTAAAAAATATAGGACAACTCCAAGTCTAAATTCTAAAACAGTGAAGATTGAGATGAAAAGGTTTATACTGAATGCAAAAATTAGACAGTTCAGGATTATACATCCAACCTGAAGGAAAGGACCTCATAGGTCATCACTGCGCTAGAAAATAAAATAAACAACTGAGCCAAATACCAAGCCTTAGAAGATACTAAGACACCAGACTAATAATGCCTCGTTGGAAGTAAGGAAGGCCATCCACAAAGAAAATGTATAACATAGAGATTAAACATCATTCCCTTCCACTCTTGTTCTCTCTCTGCATATTCACACAGACATGTGCGTTGATTTTAGTTGCATGCATAGCTTATTGTTTCCATTCAAGCACATGCAAAATGGAATTTATAAACTTTCATTATAAACATAACTTTTACCCCCTCTACTCACCTCCAGTGACCATTGTGGTGGAACAAAATTCTATGATCAGAAGGGTTCCGGGTTTTCGGTAATGCACCTTTTCTATATCAAATATTACTAAAATGCATGTACATGCCCACAAATACACAATCAAATGCATATAGAAGCAACTTTTAGCTTCCCTTTGATCAAGTAATGAGAGAATGGAATGGAAGTAAAAATTTTAATACGCATGCGTACTCCTAAAAAAATTGAGCTAGCATAACTATAGCCTTAGACAGTGGTAATTATATCCTGACCAAAACTTGAAAAGAGAAAAGCCAAAAGAAGAAGAAAAAAAAATTATATAAATAGACATAAACGCTCCACTAGTTAGTGATCCTCAAAATATCGTTTCAGTATAAATAGATATCTGCGCCTAGTTTATCACGGCTAACAGCACGGTCAAAATCTGACACATGGAAGAGTGCAATTGAAATGAACCCATAATCAAATAGGAAGAGAAGGAACAGATTAAGTTATTAGTCAAAACTCAAAAAAAGAAAAAAACGAAAAAAATAGTAAACTAGTCAAAACTCAAAAAGAGAAGCCGCAAACATTTACCAGTAAACCCATTGACACTAAGATCCAATTCTTCCAACGACACAGAACTCTGCAACAACTCCTCCGGTACAGACCCAAAGAACAGATTGCGGCCAAATCGCAGAACCTGAAGCCCAGGCAAGGACCCAAAAGAAGGAAGCTCCCCCTTGATCAAGTTATTAGTCAAATCAAGAACTTGCAAGTTGCGAAACAACTGAACGGAATCGCTTCCAAAGAAGGGACCATTCAAGTTGTTATGACTAAAGTTCAAAAAATGGACTGTATTGGCCAAGCCAGAAACATTCTGAACAGAGAGGTCAAGCCCCCCGAAGAACTGATTGAGGCTCAAATCCACGTGTTCGACGTTCCGCAGAGTGGAGAGAATGTCCCCAATGTCACCCCAGAGGGCGTTGGAATGCAAATCGAGGACCCTGAGCTGTTGAAGGTTGGTCAAGCTGGTGGGGAAGCCACCCTTGAATTCATTGAAGGACAAATTGAGGTAATTGAGTCCCCAGAGTTCGTTGATCCGAGAAGGGATGGGACCATAGAACTTGTTTTGTGAAAGATCCAAATGCTGGAGAGTGGTGAGCGTGCCGAGTGAAGGGGTTAACCTTCCGGTGAAATGGTTCCCGGAGAGGCTTAGGTTTCTGAGCATCTTCAGTTCGAGGAGAGTTTGGAACTTGAGTTCGCCGCCGAGGCCGAGGCGGTCGAGGACGATGCCGGTGACGTTTCCGGTGAGGTCGTCGCAGAGGATTCCCTCCCATGAGCGAGGACAAGCAGTGTAGTCAGCTAGTGAAGTAGGGTTCCATGACTCCAACACCTTCCGAAGCGGATCTGTTGTTATCCCTTTCTTGAATTCCAAGAGAGATCGGAGCTCCGGTTGAGACAAAGAAGAAACCGAAACGAAAAGCGAAAGAAGAAGAATAAGAAGAAAGGGATTCATCGAAGCCAATGTAGATTCACACACATACAGACCTTAATAATTCATTGATGGAGAAATAGAAGGAGAGAGAAAGGAACCCTAACATAGGAAGAAGAGGGGTTAGTTAGAGAGAGAAAATGTAGGGTTTGGTTTTAATTTTAAAATATATAAAAATATGAGAATGGAAATGGGAGAGGGGAAGGGAGGGATCAGGTGGAGAGTGTTGGTTGGTGGGGGCGAGTAACTACAGTCTGTAAAGGACAACCTCTTCGTCCTCACTCTTCTCCCTTCAATTCATTCACTCTGTTCTCTCTATTCCTACGAGTCACTCTTGTCTGTCTGTGTCTCTGTGTGACTTTTGTGAGTTGTGAGAGAGAGACACACACAGTAACGGCAACTTTAGCCTTCTGTTTTCTCTCTCTATCCAGCCCTACACGCACATGCACCTATCTAACACCACTCCACTGCACGCCGTCAACGTCTATCCCTTAATAATTTGCTATGTCTGTGAGTGTGTGTGTGTTGTGGTTAGGGTTTTTCGTCTTTTTATCTGTATCAGTGTTTACAGTTGTGGCTTACTGCCTCATGAATCCTGATTAGCTGACACACTAATCATCGTGATATAAAACGATACCGCTTTAATTGTTGCCCCTGTTACAGCTCATAATTACTGCTCATCGCCACCTTTGTACCTTCTGGCCTTCAATTTAATCCTTGATCGAAATTAAAATCCTTCTATTTTCTTGTTTTCATTGAGATGACTTCGGAGAATGCAGTTAATGTATCAAGTATAGCATTTATTTATTATATTTAAAAATATTTAATATTTTCTTTTTTAAGCATTAAAATATTTAATGAAAAATAATCTTAGTGGCTTGCCTGAAGTTTTTTCAAGACGTTCATTATCAAAATTTAAAAAAATAATTGTACTGATGAAAATAGGTATAACATTTATAATGAATTTAATTAGTTAGCCTCCATACAGATAATAACATATCAGTACATACAATTTTATATTGGATTTGGTATTTGTCATTTTAAATGACATAAGTTATGTTATTTTAAGAGAGAAATAGACACACGAAATGAAAATCATGGAAGAGAAAGTGAGTGAATTTTTTTTTAATTTAAATTTTAAATAAAAAAATATTTTCTTGTATCTATCTCATTTAAAATGACATAATTTTATCTCATTTAAAATGACAAATATTTTTCTCTTTTATATTTTTTTTAACTTTGTTTAGAATATGACATTATCATGTTATTAAAAGAAATAAATTTAAACGATTACAAAAAAATAATATTGATGTAAATGTTAATTTTTTGTTATCAGTGAATTATATAATCATGTTTATATTAAATGAACAATCAAAATTAATTACTAGAATGTTGCCTTTTTCTATTAATTAATATGGACAAGGGGGAAGTAATTATGTTAAATATAGATTTGACGAGAAGAAAAAAACAAAAAGAAACGGCGTTAAAGCCAAAAAAAAAAAAAAAAAAAAGTCCGAGAGAGAAGGAGTGGGAGTGGGAATGGGAGGGTACAAATAGAATGATGCACCCAACACAACTCCACTCCAGCTTCTATTCCCATTTTCTATTAGACCATGTTTCATTTCATTTAAAGAAATCTTTTTCATTTTTATTTTTTATTAATCATTATAAAAATAGTTTTTTTTTATGCTGTTGGTTTGTTTGTTTTTTTATACAAGAAACAGTAAACCATATAGATATTTAAAAACAGATATCATTCTTTTCATTATTTTTATAAATATTAATAAAAATCAATTAAAAAATAATTTTGACCAATCATACACATCTTTAAAGTTTTCTTATTCACACCGTTGCATTGAATCATCAATCATCTCGGTCTACACTTCCATGGATCCCAAAAGTCATTATTAGTTTACTCTTTCTTGTTCGTTGCCACCACTTACTAATTAATAACATTAATCCTTGTGTCAATAAAACTTTTAACGTACCATCACTGCCAGGGAGATACTGAATCATGATTCCTGAATGAATGGTTAGGTTTAATGATTGACAAAAATGTTACGCGTAATATTTAATAAAAAGTATTAATCTAACAATATTTTCATCGTTTAAAAAATAAATTAAAAATAAAAATCGAAATTTTGATACCTCCAACAATATTACTGTAAATGCATCTCGTTGTATATTTAAATATTCATTTCTTTTTCCAATTTAGTTACGTATGAATTATTTACCTTTAATCGGACAAAAGATTAAGGAAAAATTTCATTTTTAACCATTATAGTTTTGTGATTTATCATTGGATCTTCTGTGATTTTAAACATATCACTTAGATTTATTATATTTAAATAATTTATCATTTAACCCTTCGTGATTTCAAATTATCACTTAAATATCTTGTGGTTAGAAAAAATTTTACTTAAATCTCTTTTGGTTACAAAAATATAAATTTTAAAAATAAATTTTTCCTCTTTTAATTTTATATCCTCACGTAATGCATTTAGGGTTTAAAAAATAAAATTAAAAATTAAAAAAATTCACTTTTTTTTATCAAGAAAATAAATTCAAATCAAATATTATTTTATTTTATTAATTTTTTATCCAATATCGTTATAAAATTATCTAAAGAAAGCAAATATCTTATTTTGATAATACATATTTAATTTAACTTAAATAATATATTTAATTTCAAATATATTTTTAAAAATTAATATAATTGTCTAATTGATAAATTAATTTTACAATAAACTTGAAATATTTTTTAAACCCTAAACGTATTACAATAGGATATAAAATAAAAAAGAGGGAAATTTTATTTTAAATTTTTATTTTTAAATTTTTTATTTTTAAATTTTTTTATTTTTTAAATCACAAAGGGTCTAAGTGAAAATTTGAAACCATAAGAGATTAAATGATAAATTATTTAAGCACAGTATGTCTAAATCATAAGTTTAAAATCACATGAAGGATTAAATGATAAATCACAATAAATAAATAAAAAGTTTTTCCAAAAATTAAACTATTCGAAATGCGGATAAATCAATTTTCACCGCAATATCACAAAATATTAATATACATACTTTAGGTTTTTCGCTTTAATAATTTAAATGATTGTTAGGTTAATTTATTGAAAAACCCAACATTGATATACATGCAGCTAATTTTGTCTCATTTTGGACTTTTATTTTAAATTTATCTAATAATAATCAAATAGGTAATAAGAGTGACAAGTTTAAAATGATGCTAAATATAACCACACATTAACATATTAAATATAAGGGTGATGGAGTAAATTACTAATATAAAATCAATTAAATTCATGTTTTATGTATTCTAACAAAATTGAAGAATAAATTAATTTAAATAATATTTTTAAAAATAAATTTTAAATATGAGAAAAAATTCTAAATTATTTTAATTTAAGTCTACTTATATTATTTGTAACTTTTAATAATTTCAAACACAATTTAAATAAATGAAAACATTTTCTTCTATTATCAGAGAAAATATTCGCTCTCCTACACAAATAAATAGGTTGGTCTCTTTAGTTTTTTATAAACAATGAGCCCTACATATTTTATCTTTATGAGATGAGATAAGATGTCTCTTATAACAGTAGATTAGTAAATCCCTAATTAACGATCTTTTTATAGGCTACCTGGCTATTGGTAATTGTTTCAATTTTTTTAAAACAAAAAATTGAATGTACTAACTTCATACGGTTCAATTACTTATTAAATATTTGCAATAAAATGAGAATATAGGTTTGACTCGTTTGACTTGAATAGGAAAATTTGAAACCAATATAGAAAATTATAATTACAAAACTATAAAAACTAAATAGACAATTGGATCGGAGTATCATCTGTTCCACGGACTAATTTGCAATTTTAAACATTTTTTACTCAAATTTTTAATCAATTAAGATTAAATCAGACTTCCAATATCAGCTTACGTTTTTCTTATAATACAATTTTATTAATATAATAGTTAAATCTGTTAGAAAATAAACACCAATTTTTCCTTTCAAGACCTGTTTAGAATGGTTTCCAACAAGCAAAATATATGTTCTAATGACAACTATGCATGAACCAAAAAACACCAAGGTGGTGTTTGGTTGAGGGTTTTTACAAATTTTCCTATGCAAATGAAATAAGCAATCTCCAAAGCACTTGTTTGGTTCAACAGATTCACTTCAATTCCCCAGTCATCCTATTTGCCTAGCATTTTCAATTTGGTCTTGAATGCTGGCTTTTTTCACTGTTTAGAAAGACATGTTGAAGGTGGTTTTATGAGGATAGCCAGCTAAATTATTTTTTCACAATTTCTTCCAGACCATTATACCCTCTTGATCTGAAAGAGAAATTGGAAGCTTTCTCCCACACGTTGCAAAGGAAGCCTGAAAGAGAAATTGGTGTAGACACACTGCACAACAATCACCTTCAGTTTCCTTCCTTGTATCTACATGATGAATATATTTATAACTGTTATACAGTTTATGCAACCTTTGAATTGCATATTTTTTAAAGGAGTGCGGGACAAAAACAATGGCTGTGAAGAAGATGAGAATGGTAGAGGATGACAAAAATAGTTCTGGCCATTTAGCAAGTAGAGGATGACGAAACAGTAATATAGATGATGGAAATATTTGTTGGATGAAAAATGGCACAGTCAGTGGCCACTTGTACTCATAATAGATATTTGTATTGGAGTTAAATTTGTATTTCATACTATTTACCCATCCAAATTTTACCTCAAACCAAACATAGACTTTATAAATCTTACTTAATTTGCTCAGTAAATTTTTTTCTAACCAAACAACTCTTTTTATATTTTTCTACCAAACTCACTTTCCAACCATTTCTCTATCAATTATATTTCCCTAGTATTCAAAAAAATTCTCCTCAACCAAACGCCCCCCAAGCAACACAAGTCAATTTTAACGTGGAAAACCTCCTCAATGTGAGGAGTAAAAACCACGAGACCGATTTCGGAGTCCACCCAAATTCTCCACTATCAACAAAGTGATATTACAAAAGGTTCCAAAGCAATTACAATCAGCTATAGCACCATCAAAACAACTTCACAACTAGTTGTACCAAAAATGCAAGAGACATACATATATGACCAAGCTTCTATCCGAAATTAATCTAAAATAACATAAGCGCCTATTCCCAAATCTCAACGGTCAGATTGAAGAACAACAAGAGAGGAACACACTGACCAATTTTGAGGACAATCGCACGGTTGACCAAAGAGAAACCTCTTTCTGAACTTCACTTCCCATAACAGAGCAGAAAAAGGATGGCCTCTGTTTGGAGCTGAATAATTCGCTCTTGACAGCTCCAATCGCAAAACTGAACGGTCAAACTCTAGTACAG